TATATTGACTTTCTCCCCCCACTCCCTGAGAATTACAGAATAACCTCATAGGATATTTCATGCTGTAAGACAAGTCAGAAAAAGGGATGTCATAGGATAATTCATATTGTTAGGGATGTCAGGAGGTTTGTAGCCCAACATCCTGCTGAAAGATAAGACATTTGGTCAGGTTACTCGGGGCTTTATTTTTTAGTCTTGAAAGCTTTCAAGGAGAGAAAGTGCACAACTTCTCTGAGTAACCTGTTCCAATGCTCAACTGAACATATAAAAATCTCTCTTTGATTTTTACAAACAAATTAAATTTAGTAGCTAGTAAGCTGAAGTGCATTACTCATATTTTATGGCAAAGAAAACCAATTTCATGCAAATGTAATGCAGCAGTAAATTCAAGCCCATGTCTAACAACTGAGTACAGGCTGGGCTAGGAATAACTAATAGTAACACTTCTGTTCAACTCTTGCTGAACTGGAGAAAATTGAATTGTCTATAGTAAAATAGGATGTTTCCAATAAAGCTATAAAAAGATCACTTATCTTATGGCTAAATCCTAATCTCTGTGCTTCAAGCTAACTTATTTGCATGGGACCAACATATCATCTGTCCACTACGTGTCAATTATAAAAACATTACATAAATAAAGGCAAAGAACTTGTCAAATATGTGTATTTATATTTCTTAATTTTAAAACACTCTATTACATTCATTGTTCTGTCTGTAGTGCTAACCATAGTTCAACCATGTCCCTTATTTCAGACACAAGAGCTACTGAGTTGTTGCAAATACTATTTTACCACATCCAAAAGACTACCTTATGTAAACAAAACTACTACGCTGCAGTGGTAACTCCACCAGTTTTATCCAGATCTCAATTCAGTGAGATGCTTACATCATCTTTTTATAAGTATTTGTCTCAAGAGGTTGGAGCAAATCCTTGAGATAAAATGAAAGAAATTAGTATGAATACAAACAAAACCCAAATCATCCATTATTTTATTTGCCAGCACAGAGCCCTGCAAAACTTAGCTGAGTTAAGCAAAAATGCAGGATATGCTACAGTCAGAACTGCTGATTTCTCTGCATAAATAGGACTACTGAGGTTGCTTGGCATTTCTATAGTTTACTACTACTTACAACTTTGTCAAAATGTTCTGTGTGGCCTTGGTTTCTGCTAGTGCATATAAAACATATCCTTACATATCACATCGAAAAATTGAAGATTTCAATTTTTAAAAAGGAAAACCACAATAGTTTTCCTTCAAAAAACGTTTGTGACTATGACTTGAAGCCATCAGCATAGACAGTCTTCGAGTTAATGCTGTGCTCTTTCATTTATCTCTGAAAATAGTAACTAAGACCAACGAACTTCTAAGAAGAAAGTACTGTGTTGTTTCAGTGGAGAAGAACAAAAGCCACCTTACAGTCTCTGAAGAAGAATAAAAATTGAGACCAATGTCTGCTAAAAGCACAGAAAAAGCGACTGGAGACAGCAGAAAGGAGACTAGACTGGGCTGACATAGCAAATCAGGATGAGGAGGCTCCAAGGAATAAAGGAAAATAAATGGAAGGAAAGCTGGCAGGAAGAAAAAGCAAGGAGACAGGACTGGGTGAGATACGAAACCAAAATCTGGAATGGTCAAGACCAGGAATAACTAAAACACTGAGACCTGCGACAGGATGATAAAGGAGCTGTCATTAGGATACATATAAATGATGAAGTGAAAAGGACTGTGCTTGCAGAAGTCATGCAAAAGAGCCTTCATGCACCACATGTTCTAAAGCCTGCAGCACAAAGGACTTCAGTCCTGCACCACATCTCCACAACCCCAGCAAATGCACTACAAGTGACACCATTCTATTTTACCACTGCTGTACATGAAAGGGACCACACTCCTATAATATCACTCATGATGGTAAAAGTTCAGGAGCTTTTTGAAAAGGATTAAACCTTTCCGATTCTCTTTGCAACCACTGTAGGTCCAATACAGTAAAACAGTGAGAAATTTACTTGGAGAATTGAATTTTTTCTGCATTTTCTCGTTTTCTTGGTTTGTTGTTAGTTGGCTTCTTTTTGTTGTTGTTGTTGTTGTTTTTTAATTCCCTAAAATTTAATTTTCTAGGTTTTAAGGACATTTATGGGACACGTATATATATTTTACTTCAAAAACAACACACAAGAACATTATTAAGGTTAGAAAATCAAGCACTCAAAAGGTGTAAAATGACAAACTGATGTCTGTGCAACCATAATTAACTTCCCTTGAGTGTTTTTGGCTTTTTAAAATACACTTAAGTAGACATGTGCTTCTTATTAAAAGTTACTTTGCCACTGAAGATGATACAGAACTTAAGTCAGGTAGAACTTATCTCCTGAAGAACTGAACTTGCAGAAAGAAAAAGGGACAGGGGCTGTGTAATATGCCACAAAGACTTTAATGGCTAACATTCTCTCTATTGTAGTTTCCTTCATTCCCCTTACTGTCATGCAGCAAACCATTTAACCTAAACCTTTGTTTCTGTAGTTTGTAATTAACAGTAAATTCCTCTTTTTCCCCATTCACCCCGCAGATACACTCACAGATGTGGGGCAGTCAGGACTGTTACAAAAAGCAGTAGCAGGTATAACTTGAGCAAACATATTTACAATAATTGTAGAAATTTCAAACTGGACACCAAAAATGAGTGAATACTTTTCACCTAAACCTCTTTGTACCTTCCTTCACCACCTGTAGAAGTGCTGTCTCACCTTAGGTAGTGTTTGATAAACTACTAGTACTTTGTGGGGCATACTGATCACATACTGATAAGCACTTTAGCAAAGCTCACACAGATGTTATCACTTCTGTCTTCAAAGCAGAGCTGAGTAACACTGAATAAATAAATCATGGGCTCACACAATGATCAATGAAAAATACTGAATTCTCTTAAGTGAGCTCAGTCTATTCCATGCAGTGAAAGACAGCATTCCTGTGGGGGAAAAAAAAAAAATAGTATGTGATCATGTAATTAGGACTGTATCAAAAGTACGTGCTCAAAAAGGCACTTAAAACCTCTTTATTCCATAACCTTAATAATGTGGAATTTCTCTACAAAAGGTGTTTAAGACAGACACTCAATTTAAAATTCTATAAAATCAAGTAGGTCCTTGCATTACCATGAAGTTGTGTTGAGGTTGCACTATTTTTTAGTACCACTTAAAAGTGAAACTGGAAATCTCTTGCTGGTTTAGAACAGCATTGTGGATAATACAAATATGGACCAGGATACAAGTGTTTTGCTCAGGTTATTTTTACTTTTTGCAAAATTTACAGATAGAAAAGATCTATTTTTTTATAATGTCAACTATTGCTGAAGAGAAAAACTAAGCAACTGATAACATATATTTGAATGCAAATGACCAAACAAAAGATTCATACTACCAACAGATTTCAGAAGCATTAGGGCAAGCTCTTATTAAAGAAATTTTGGTGCACTATCATTAATAGAAGAACGTGGACCAAAGCTCATCTTTTCACAGAGATCTGTACAGTATTTGCACTACAAGGGCATTTAGAAGTTACTAATGGTAGATGAAAAAAACCTGAGAATTTTTATAACTTCAAGTTATTTCAGAAAGCTTTCCCATCTTATGTAATTTCAAGGCCTGTGCTCATAATTTTTAGTGGTTTACAAGCAATTCTATACAAAAGAGTGAAACTAAGTAACATATTTGTTAATACCTTCTTTGATACAGGCCACCTCTGCACAGGTGGCTGCATTTTAAAGGCGTATTTTCTCCTAAGATGTACAGCCTAATAATTACATAATGGCTTATTTTTAAAACGTTAACAAACCCTTTTTAATGTGCTTTAATAAAACTGTACTATAATATTGTTACATAACTATGACTATGCTAGAATATAACACTCGAAAACATTCTCAGCTCAGAGGTCACACTTTACTTCCATTACTAAATGGAGCATAGTTGATTAACTGCATAGATAATCTCCCGTAGATTTCATAAGCAGAATTAAACAGCGCTTCATAGAGCAGCTGCAGTTCCTAAAAAGCCGCTCACCGAGGTGCAGCTCGGGCGCGGCTCCCGGGGGCAGGCTCAGCCCTTCCAGGTGCCTTTAGCGGGGCTCAGCAATGGCATTTCTGCCCTCACCAGCGGGTTACTACAGCCGCCCCGAATTACTGACATTTACGGAAACGCGGCGCTAATAAAAAAGGCACTATTAGCATTTTACAAGGAGAAAACAGAATGAAAGGCTATCATTTTTACTGCAAGAAGGTGCACTGAAAAAAAAAAAAAAAAAAAAAAAAAAAAAACCAACCAACACCCTTTTTAGCTCGTCATCACTAAACACACCCAAAACGCAGATAAATCAGCGTACGGCGCAAGGCTGCGGCTGCTCCAGCACACAGACCATGGTGCTGAAATGATGCGCTGGAGCACCACGGCACGGACGCGTTTTACACACGCTGCCAAAATCCATACGTGCGCGGTAGGGAAAGGGAGAGGAAAGCGCGCACGAGGCTTCCCCTGCGGCAGCATCCCGGTCCCTCGGCAGCCAGCATGCCCCCCCGAGCCCACGACCGGCGGGGACAGCACTCGCCGGAGGATTACCCGGGGCAGGCGGCCCACTTTCGGCAGCCCGGGGTGCCGAGTAATCCCGTGCCCAGCGGGCAGGCACCCTGGGAGGGGGCGGCTTCCCCCTGCCCGCCCCGCTCCCCGTGCCGGGAAAGCGCCGCCGCAAAGGAGGGGTGCCGCCGCAAAGGAGGGGTTCCACCGCTGCCCGCCGCCCCGCACCTGCCCCAGCCCCCCGCGTTCCCTCGGCCGCACCGGCAAAGTTGTGACTCCCCGCCGCTGAGGGACCCACCCCGGCCGGCGCCCCCTGCCCCGGACCGGCGGTGCCGCGGCCGCGCGCCGCTCTGTCAGCGCCGCTCGAACGCGGGACCCCTCTGCGCTGCCCGGGCCGGGGGCGCCCGCCGCGCCCGCTGCCGAGGGAGCCCTGCCCTACCTGCGCAGTGCCGCCGCACGGCCGGGCTGTCACCCCGCGCCGTCCGCGCCTCCGCTGCGCAGCGGGCACGTCTCGGACGGCCCTGGCCGGCCGGCACGGCTGGCTCGGCTCGGCGCGTCCTTGCCAGGCTCGGCAGGGCTGACAGCCGCCCGCGCGCCCCCGCCCCGGCCGCGCGCGGGGCCGCCGGGGCCGAGCGGGGCCGAGCGGGGCGCGGGGAGCGGCGGCGGCTGATTGGACGGGGGTGATGTCACTCGTGCGCGCGCGAGTGAGCGGGAGCGCGCGGGAGCGGGGCCGTGAGGCAGAGCGGGGAGAGGCGGAGCGGGTGCTCGTGGGCGCTGTCCCGAGGTGCGGGAGGCGAGCCGCGATGGAAGCTGTGTGGTGGAAGCGGGGTGAGGAGTGCCGTGGGGCGGAGGCGCTCACCGGCCGGCATCCCTGGCTGCGCTGGGCGGGAGGAAAAGGGCCTCTGCAGAGCGGGAGGGGCGGAGGTGAGCAGGGCCGGGGGCGAAGGGGGCTCGGCGTTCCTCCGTCCGCGCCCGTCCCGCCGGCCGTGACACATGCTGCAGGTGGAGCAGCACCCGCGCTCCCGGGAGCAGCGTGTGCGGCACCGGCTGCTGCTCTCACAGAGACGCTCACACGTAGTCACAGACACACAGACACACAGATTGATACAGGCGCAGCCACACGGCACTCGCGGGCGCGCTGCACATGCCCAAAGGGCGGGTGAAGCCCGAGTTAAGCTGCTGCCCCTACCCCGAGCTGGCTCTCAACTGCGCCGGCATCCACGGACCGCGTCAAAGAGGCGGGATGGACCGCAAGGATGCAGCTGGGCAAGAGTCGTGATGCTCGGGGCCCCCGAGGGATGTGCTCGGCAAGGCCAGGTTCAAACTTTCAATCCATACCCTCCTCACAATCTAGGAGAATGATTTTGAAATGACGCGATTTGTCTTCAGCCTCAATTTATTTTCTGAACTTTGTGTCTTCTCTGTAGGACCTTATTTCTTAATTCTTTTTCATTACCACAAAGACTAGCTATTTATTTTTAAAGCGTCTACTTGTCCCTTGAGCCCAAGTCTTATGGTATTTTCCACATTATAAGTTGCAGAAATCAAAACTCCCAGAGGGAAAAAAAGACAAATATGGGGCTTGCTGCATACCCTCTTGTAGAAAGCAAACAGGTCCAGAAAAGTGGAGACATGATCCACTGAAGAGTCATGAGCTGCCAAATTTGTGACGACTGCTGCAGGAAGGACTCATGAGGGATGGAACATAGATCGCAAAAAGTTTTGAGACACAGGTTCATCCTGTATATGAAATGCAAATTTTGCTGGCAGCAGGGGCTGCAACCATGACACTTTGTATTTAGAGAGGGTGACAGATAAGGCACAATTACTAGCAGACACAGCAGAAATCACACTTGACTAGTTTGCACCACCTGCATGACAGTAATGACCAGAGAGTGAAAAACTTCAGCTAGTCCAGGGCCCTGGGTCTCCTTGTTTCTTCATGATCAGTCCTTATGGTGGGAGTAACACCAAAGCACCAAGCATACATTTCCCCTTATGAAAAATCAGGTTCTTGCAGTTCCTTTTATTCCTCGACACTTGAAGTAAGGAGGGGAGGACTACTTCACTTATAGCTGTCATCTTGGGTAGTTCTCACATGTCTGAAAGGATCTGAACTCTAAAATGCAAGATAGCACTGACTTTACAGCTTTACTGTTTGCTGATTGCACCAAATACGGTTATGTCAAGTTCAGTGAGCTCATACTCTCACAACCATATGGATCAGAAGCTTGTTCAAGAATAAAAAAGATGGTTCATAAAAAACCTCAACCCAGTAGATTTTAATTTAATTATTCCAGAGTTGGAGGTTTAGACTTGGGTCTTTAATTCCTGTGTCTTAATCCAATACTGGCCATTGTATGTGTACACAAACATTCAGAAGAGGAGAACTGTCACTGCTGATGTGCTCTCAAAGCAGCAGGGACAGAGATTACATGCCAGAAAATTGGGAGAAAATAAGGTGGTTGCAAAAGTGCAGAAAAAAATGGGAAATAAAGACAGACCAGCCTATTAAGGTAAACAGGTTAGATTATTCATATTGACACAGTATATAGTCACAAAACAGAAGGCATTTGAATTATTAGTGAGCTTTGAATCTCTGGCACACACCTCATACGAACATCAGTTTTTAGACACCTTAACTGCTTTCTTATGGTGAGGACTATAAAACAGTTTCAGCCCTTGCTAGGATTTAGAACAGTCTTACAACTGCTCTGAGTGGCATTGTTCATTGCCTCAGGCTGCATTTGCTGCTAGAAGCTGTAAAACACAAAGTCAGCTCTAGGATGAGTTGGTGAAGAAGTGCTGTTGTGGTGTGTCCCCTCTGATGTACAGCACGGGCTGCTGTATATTCTGCCACTGTGCATTTAACACAGTACTCTCTGAAGGATCTTCCTCCCTAATATTCAGTAATTTCAGTTTATGATTTCACAGCCAGAAGTTAAGATGGCTGTCTCACACGTTTTGAAGCAGTGTATTTTTTTTACTTAAATATACCAGTGGGTGTCTCTGCACTGCACAGAACATCTCTGTCTCTCCCTTTGCTTGATTCAAATGTCCTTTGCTAGAATCAGGGAGTCAGTAAAGCCAAACAGGAACAGAAGACATGCTAAAGAGCAGAAACAGAGTGCTTTCAGCACCCTGTATATTTGTAATCATCAGCTGCTCATTATTCCATAACACTCTCCTTACAATCAATGTATATTTTAGTTCATATACATACCTACATCCCTGGGTACTTGATTCCTGTGAGGGAGTTTCTCCCTAGAAAGAGTCAAAAGTCATTTGGGATCCAAACATAAGGATGAAATAGACATAGCTTCAGCCTGCAGCACTTATGGAGGGACAGCAACCACTGACCTCACTTCATATTTTTTACAATACTCCTAGGATCCACCATGGGAGGAAGGGGGGGAAGGGAATATGAAACAGGGACAACAGCTTTCTGTTATTGTAATAAAATGGAGACAGAGGCCAGCATAAGCTTTATATACCCCTACCCAGTCCCAGCAATCTTTTAGAGGATTAATGAGATTAGAAGCCCCTATTCTTTTGCTAATGGCTGTTTATTTGAAAAATGGCTTTTCTTGTAAGCATACAGAAATGACCATATGTTATTCCATACTCCAGTGCTGCCTTGGGATACTGCTAAAAGCAAAGAATTAATATCATGTTCCATTGCATATTTTACAAAAAAAAACCAATTAATTTGCCCTTCAACTCTTTGTCTATGGAGTCTTACCTGGTTGAAGGTAATGCTTTAAAATAGATTAAGACTATTCCTTTGAAGAATCTTGCTGCAGCTTATGCTGCTGAAGGAATTTGAACAATGCTAACAATCCATTTTAAAATCCATGGTTTTTTGAATTCCACATGTATATTTGCAGAGATAATTTGAACTCTGGCTATATCCGAGCCCATCATCCATGAAATTGACACATGCAAGTTCCATTTCATTGCTCCCAAATGTTGCAAAATATTTCCCATGATATTAAATATTTTCAGATGAAGGGAAGTTTTAGAGTCAGACTTAACTGAGCTGAACACTATTCTTGTTGAATTCCAAGCTTTTCACAGTGAATGAAACACATCAGGAAGGTAATTTTAATTATAGAGCTTAAAATAGAACATACGGCAAGACTTAAGGTTGAAATTAGATTCTGTATCATGAGTTCATTCTGAATAGCTTGAAGTTTAATCATTGAGGCTGTTATTTCCTATGCTTGATCTCTTTCATGAATCAAATGTTTCTGGAAAATGATTCAGACATTTTTGAGGATGCTAAAGGATAAAATTAGATACTTGTAATGAGAAACAACTTTTTCAACCATTCTTTTAATGGGAATAGTGTCCCTATATCCCTCCTCAGAAGGGATTAAGAATTTGAGGTCTGGCAAAAAAAAAAAAAAAAAGTAGCTTAGAGCTCAGACAGGTTTTTTTGTATAAACAAAAATATTAATATCTGACAAAGAACTGGAGCAGGAGAGAAATTAAGAGGATGACATGATAATATATTTACAATCTGTTGATCACTGACTGGTACCATATGCTCTGGATACCAGTCCAACTTTGGTCATTAGGTTGCTGTAAGTTGCACTGGAGTTTAAGAAGCAGTCACATCGTGTCATGGGTTGGATGAATATAAAATCAGGTTTCCCTCTCAGCAGGCAGATCTCAACTTTCCCGTGAATCTACCCACAAATGAAACTATTTACCTTTTGCTTTAAATTCTTTCCTCTATGAGCTGAGTCACCAGGATACCACAGCACAGGCAACTCAAGTGCAACTTCAGAGAAGCAGAAATTGCCCAGATTCTCTCCAGAGTCAAAAGTACAATCTCTCACCAGTCCAGTCCATATTCCATGGATGCATATAGCCAGATGCACAGACACAGGGTTTTCACTGCAAAACAAAGGACAAAACCAAACCAAATATTTTTAGAAAGTAGCTTGTTTGTCCCTGCCATTTCCCACATGTGATGTTGATTCTATTGATTACTGTTGATGCCCACAGTTACTCATTTAGCCCAGGTGGTAGACCATCACCTCATGAACACAAAATTCTGCAGTTTACTGATAGTTTCATATATAGGGAAGATAGTTCAGTTTTCTTTAAGTATATGTGAAAATCTGCATAAACATTATGGAAAAGGAGCACTAGTACTTACTGCTGTTTCAAGTCTTTGAGAGGTATTGTGTTACCTTCTTTTTCTCACCCTAATCTTTTTTCTCACCCTAATCTTATGCATTAGAGTTTTACAAGGGCTTAGTGGGTTTTCCTTTAAGGATTCTCATTCACTATACAAAGTGAATATATGTGATATAGCATCTCTGTAATATTTCTTTATGTCTGAAACAATCAACTGATTCAGGCGTAATTTACAGCTAAATGGTGCTAAGTAAAAATTCCTCCTCTTTTTTCATTGTGACCATGAGTGCATTTCCTGATGTTCTCCAAGGTCCCAATCTTCAAAATCTTTCTTCCAAAAATACAGGTATGACA